TTAGAAAGGCATCATTCTAAAGAATATGAATCCCTAACTACAAAAAAATTAAAGCTTTCCAAGCCTTTGCAATCAATATCAAAGCCTAGCCATAATAAATCTATTGAGCAGGCATTTAATGCTTGCACAGAACTTATTACTGTACATCGGCCATTAAGCTTATTAGATGATTTAGCTTTTAAAAAAATTATGAACCCAATTATAACAGGACTTGGGGAGATAATTTTTCTATAAATTCAGAAAATATGAGAAATAATATTAATAAAATGGCTAGCAAATGCCTTGCTAAGAGCAATATAAAAAAAGAAATCTTCAATAAAATGATTTCTATAAAATTAGATATTGCATCAAGGTATGACAGAGCTATTTTAAGCGTCAATATTCAATTTATAGCTGATGGGAAAATACAATTGCGATCAATATGCATGAGAGAACTCACAGAAAAACATATCTCGGAAAATATCAAAAAAGTTATTTTGGAAATATTTAAAACACAAAACATAGATATTAACCAGATATATAGCATAACTAGTGATAATGCATCCAATATGGTTAAGTTGATCAAGCTTCTAATGGAGCATGAAGATATTGACGACAAAGATATGATGCTATCACATGAGAATAGTTTATCAAATATTAGTAATATCCACATTGATGAAACTGATAATATTATATTTAGGATGACTGGATCCTTGTTAGTTGGAGTTCGATGCGCCCCCCACACATTTCATTTAGCCATCAATGATTGTATCAAAACATCACCTAATGAACTATTGTTAATTAATAAATCTATATCATTATGCAAAAAAATTCGAACTCATACTTCATTAAATATCTTAACACGCCTAAATCTTAAAAAACCTTTGATTGATTGCTGTACCAGGTGGAATTCTATCTACCTCATGCTAGAAAGATTGATGGAATTGAAAGGATATTGTGATGAAATGGAAATGGATGAAAGCATTCATCTATGCGAAGATGAATGGGATATTATTAAAGATATTTTGAAAGCTATGAAACCATCTTTCATATTGACAAAAATTCTTCAAACTGAACCAAAACATTGGGCGATTTTTATGCTGCTTGGTACAAACACCTTTTTCTCAGCATCTTTAAAATGTATCAAGGCAAGAGAGGCTAATATAAAAAATGATGCCTTTTGTGCAGCTTTATATTTGGACCCACGTTATCCGGTATTGCTCACCGAAGATGAAAAAATGACCGCTAAAGATCATTTAAATAAAACATGGAAAGCAATTCAGGTTCACATATTTTATTTAGCCTTATTATGATTATTGTCCGGATTTATTTTAATAGTTATTTTTCATTTAAAATATATAGGCCTTGGAAAGTGATGATAGTTTAAAGATGGATATATTTCAATCTACCTCTAGCTCTTCCAAAGATCATGGAGCAGATGATGAATTAGAAAAGCTTCTGATAACCCGTGAGTCTGAATTTAAAAGAGCTACTTCAAATGCACACAAAGAACATGATATTAGAAATATTATTGATTCGTTTGAAGATGTTGAAAGAATCGACAAAAAATCATCAATTTTTATATTTTGGGAATCGAAAAAATTTGAATATCCAGAACTGTATAAACTTGCTCTTATAGCATTGGTGGTTCCCGCAACACAAGTTTCTGTAGAAAGGGCCTTTTCGTGGCTGAAATTTGTGTTATCGTCACAACGAACAAATATGACTCCATTTATTCTAGAAAATATATTACATATACGTTCAAATAATATATTTAAAAATGAGTTATTTTGAATCTTATATATATTTTTTATATAGATACTTATAATAAAAATAAATTAGTGATGGCAAAATTTTAATAAATTCATAATTAGAATCATTATATGATGGTGTTGCTTCAATAAAAAAAAATTTCAAACCGGAATAAACCTTTATAATTAGTAAACCGAACCGAACTTTTATAAATTTATTTTTAAGAACCGAACAGTAACCATTATAATTTTTTACATACTGAACCGTAACCGACTTGAACCTTTATAAATAACGGTTCGGGTCCCTGTTAATAACTATTAAAATATTTAAAAAATATCAAATGTACTTGTCCAAGATAGATTTCTAAAATTAAAAAATTACGATGAAATTAAACAAATAAGCCAGAAAGTTCTTACCAAATTCTTAGATATACTAATTTATTAAATCTGGGCATGCTGACACACATTTTAGAAAGTTTCCTGACCGGTCTATTGTTTTGAATCTCTTTTTTTAATACCGGAAATTATTTTAAAACGCCAAAAAAATGATTTATATTTTGATTTAAAAATTTCAAAAAAAAGAAAATAATTTTTAATATGTATTAAAGAAAATTTTAAATTGTTACTATTACTAGATAGAAAAATAAATACAAACAAATTTTTTTTTTATCAACCTCAATACATGTATCACTTCACAACACAATTAATTAACTTATGTATTTTTGTTTATTTTTATATTTTAAATTTTTTTAAAAAAAATGTAATAATTAAAAATAATTGTTATAGTGAATGAAACGAGTGTTAATAATATACTTAAGAATAAAAGGGGGGTAAACATAATAAGATTTTATTTTAATTTAATACATATTGAAATTAAATATGGACAATCAATTAATTAAGAAGATTAATCGTTGAAAAGAAATGTGTTGAAATACTTGATATTATTTATCTATATTATTAAAAAATTCAGTAAACTGTGTAATTGTTGATTTTTTGAAAGAAATAAATTATTAATGCTAAATAATATTATTAGATTATAGTCGTCATAGTTCTTATCCACAAATAAACCAATATTACATCACAATTACTCAAGATAAGAATAGTTATTTACTAAAGAGAGAATTTTTTAAATATTTTAATATTTATTGACTATTAATGACAAATAATTATGTAAAAGAATGACTAAAGAGGGACTATAAAAATACTAAATATATATTAAATGCAGATGAGGAGGAATGCAATTCACCCGCCATAGCATAGTTTTGATTATTATAAAACGTCAGCCTTACCTATATAAAATTCAAATAATGATAGAGGTATAATTTCAAAATATTCAGATATCTGCAAAATATTTTATTAGTATTCAATCAAAAAATGTAAAGAATTTATTTGATCAAATAAGATGAGGAATAAGAATGAAGTATATAGTTAGTATTCACGACTCAAGTTGGAAGTCTTAAAAAACAGATCAAATATCTTAATAAATAATAAATCTGTAATATTTGTCCTCTATTTGACTCAAGTTAGAAGTCTCAAGTTAGAATATAAAGTAAAAAATGTAAAAAACAGAACTCATCTTAATAAATAATAATAAATCTGAAATGTCTGTTCTCTAGTCAACTCCAATTAACGACTCAAGTTCATAGAACTATTCGTCCTCTAATCGACTCAATTATATAATTCTTAGTCTCCCCCCCACCTATAGGATCAAAAAAATCCTCACCGTCTTGAGTTCATGACCCGAGTTCATAACTCAAGTCAGTTTGAGTCGATCTCTTTGACCCAAAACATGGCTCAGTTTTCGACTAAGTCGCCTCAACTCAGTCAATTAACAACACTACTGCAGAGTGTAAAGAATGCCACCAATTTACAAGTGGCTCTGTAGACTCGTTATCTAATTGTCAATGTCAAGTATTTAAAAGTATATTATCTAATTTTATTAAAAATCACATATATAATGGTATTATTCAATATCATATAATTTATTTGTTTAACTCAGAAGTTTTATAAAATAAACTTTTATATTAATGATGATAATGAAATGAAAATGATACAAAAAAAATCATCTAAAATTGAAAAGGATGAGAAAAAAAACATTGATAAGATATATTAAAAATAAAAGAAGTAAAAAAAATCTCTAATACAAAATATTTTCTTTTTTTTGTTTCACTGATAGTAACAATTTATAATTATATAAAAATTACATAAATCATCACAAAGTATTACACAAATCGAAAAAAACAAAAAGAAATTGTGAAAACTGCAAAAAGATTAACTCAAAAAACATAGATTTCAATAAAAAGAAAAACAATGTCTCAGGAAAAATTAAATAATCTATTCATTTCATTTGTTGTTAAAGGAATGCATTCTTTATCTATGAACCTTAATACATTTTGATTTTGATTATAAATTTAAAAAAAGGTATCTTTTATCTTAAATACTTTTTAAAAAAATTATATATAACTTGTAAATTTTTTCTAAATACCTAGTATCTCAAATATTTAAATATAATTTTAATTTTCTAAAAATTTTCCCATGGAAATAGTGTTGCTAAAAGGCTAGGTTTGAGCAATTTTAAAATGCCATAGAGGTTAAAACCTTTGTGCCATCTAAAATGTTCAGGCTTAAGTAATATTTTTCGAATTTTTATAAATTGTGAACTACTACCTCTGAAAATAGATTGAATGGGTTAGCCCTTCTTAATATACATAGGAAGTTGACACCAGGCACTGATGCCATCATTGAAAAATTAGCTCAATCCCAAAGAAAATTGAATTTCACATTATAAATTCATAATATGCTTAATATTTTCCTCAATTTTTAATACACCATATATTTTTTTCAAAGTATTGTAACTTTTATACATGCAATAATTCTGAAGAATATTTTTGTGCATTAATCTATATTTCCAACATTTATTATTTTTTAAGTAAAATTTAATTTATCGAATTTTAAATGTTAAAAATTTTTACAAAGTTCTTTTTTGAGAGATTTATTTTATAGTGATTCATAGGCCATAAGACATTTAATTTATCATTAATTTATATTTGACTTTGTGTATTATAAATTGTCTGTATTTTATAGTCACTAGTCCTAATAAATTTCTGAAACTTAAGATAAAATTACTACTAGAATAATTGTTAAACAAAAGTAACCCACCCCCAACCCTCATACAGAATTCCTGCATATGGCAGTTTTATTTTAACCAAATATTTTGACAAAAAATATGATATATACATGAAAATATATTTAAATAAATTAGATACATACTTGATCAGTTTCCCCAAACCGTATTTTATCAGCACTATCAATAACATATACCTAATAAAATATAAAATTTGAGGATTTTGAGTTATTACTAATATATGGGTATTATCATAATAATGATCCCAATAAGATCTAATTCTCCTTTGTCCTCCTAAATCCCATATATTTAATTTCAATCCATTCATATGAATTGATTTAATATTAAATCCCTTTAATAAGATATTAATTTGATTTGATTATATTATATATTACTTGAGTTGGTGTTGTATATGATATTTCTTCATTAGCTAACTGTTTAACTAATGTAGTTTTACCAGCATTGTCCAATCCTAGTAATAATATTCTTATTTCTCTATTGTTTGTTAACTTTAGTTTTTTTAAAAAAGCTAAAAAACCCTTTATTTAAAAGTAAATCAAGGTAAGTAATCTTTTACATACCATTACTGTTAACGAATATACTGTGCCTAAGCTTACCTAGAATGACATAAAAAAGATATCATATATTTGACATGTGTCATAATATATAGTGTAATAAATCAGTTGTTTTTATTTATATTTTCATAAAATTACAATACTTTACTGCATTAGTTAGTCAGGATTCAAGGGAAGGGATATGAAACATTTTTTGGGGGCCTTTCCCTGTGTCGGCTAGGATCAGCCTATGAAAAATTATGTCCAATTATATTAATGTTCCCATGGCTATTTTATTTTGTTTTTTTAATATGCAATATTTCTACATCATCTCTATTAGCATTAGCTAAAATATGGAAGCACAATCTATGTGTTTGCCAATGTTTCGCCTTTATCATACGTAATGAGGACTTTTAGTAGCCAGTATAAATTATTAGGAATAAAACGTTGACCATTTGATCAGCCTTACGATTAAAAATCCATCGAAAGTTTTTATTTTTAAAATTTTATGAAAATTCTTAATTCTATATTATTTTAATTTATTTGGTAGACAGTATAAAAAAGTTTATTAGCATAATAAGAAAAAAATTTCATAATTAGTATCATTCCAGGTTAAAAAAATATAGAAGAACCAATATATGGTTAACACTATTATTTATTGCTTAACTAGTATTTAAATTTCTTATTATAAACCCCAATAAAGAAACTGAATATTAAACGAAATATATGGCGTCCCACTTTAGACAAGAAGTGAACAAAATTTTGGAAACACTAATTCTTAACATAAAACCCTAATTAGTACATTAAATTGCAATTTGTTTGGTGGGTGGTACTAAATGAAAATTTTATATAAAATATTTAAAAAATAAATATCAAAAATGGCATCATGCCAGAAGGGATATAGAAGTTTTAAATATATCTTTTGTATTAATAAATAGTATCTAATTTATCAATTTTTCGATCAATATTGCAACCAAAAAGAGTAACCGAATTCTAACCTAAATAATTATTATTATATCATTCCTTAAACGTGCTTTCTAACTTAACTTTCTAATTTAAACCTTGCTAACTTACGAACGAATTTTTTAATTTTAATTTTTTTTTTAGAATTTTTTTTAGAATATATGTATACCTTTCTTTTTTTACTTGATATATTTTTATTTGTATTTTCTTTTTGCTTTATTTTCCTTTTTCTTATTTTTTTCTTTCAACTAAAAATGGCTAAAATTTCTTTTTCAAATTTTCTTTGAACATTAGGAATAATCATCATTTATTTTTCTTTTTTTTCACTTTATATATAATATCCCGAAAAAAATAGATGAAAAAAATAATATACACAAAAACAATAAAATAATATTTTTTTTCTTTATTTTTTTCAACAATGATAAACATATAAAAATCGATAAATTATATATCGTATAAACAATTACACTATAACTAACTTATTTCATAAAAACAAACTATGATAAACATACAAAAATCGATAAATTTTATTTCGCATAAACAATTACACTATAACTAAATTATTTAGTATAAACTATTACACTAATCTTTGCCGATCACATCACGCTTACACCCTCAAGTTCTCATCACGCCGGCCCATCCAGATCTGGCCCCAATATCGACTCCATCTCCTAATCACTGACTGCGCATTGCAGGCAATCCAGGAACTCCGGCGTCAAATACGCCTCCAGCACCTCTAGTTCTTCCGCATTCGTACCCTCTGCCTCGTTATTCTTCCCACTGCATCCACCGTTGTTCTCCTGTGTCCATTCCTCGACCTCTTCATTTTTCAGCGTCTCCGATCCTTCTCCATCCCAGCCGCCAACGCCTTGCTCATCCCTCGGCCAAGCCATTCCTCCCCAAGTAATCTCCACCTCGTCGGTCCCAGTCCTGTTGTCCCCTGATCTTTTCTCCTCCTCCATAGACCGCTCCCGCTTTGGACATTGACTGGCTAAATGTCCCCGTCTTCGGCAACAATAACACCTCCGGTGCTCAACTCATGTTGATGCTACTTGTTCAAAGCTGCCCATTCTTGCCCAGCAGTCAGTCCATTGCTTTCGCACGGATACCTGCAAATCCCTGAAAATCCAACAGTGCTACATTCTTATTCATAATTATAGGTAAACTGATATATATATAGTATATCTGCCCCGGTCCCTATATTCCCACTGCCCTGCAATAAAGTCCCCCACGAAAAATAATTCCTCTAATACTTTATTAAAAGCGAACCCCTTCAATTTACCACCCCTACCAAAAAAAATGCCATTATTTTCTTTCCTATCCCATACTCTGCAAAAACTAATCCTAAACTCACCTACTCCTTTAATAACTAATTAACACTTATGACCAACATATACTCAAATACTACAATAAAAATTCTAACTTCCATATTTACCTAATTATTAAACTAATATACTAAAAAAATAAATTCAATTACTTCAACATAATTTCCTTATTTCAACACACACACAAATACTTCAACAAAAAAAAACATAGACGCAATTATTTCAACAAAATTCCCTTATTTTAACATAAAGTCAAATACTTCCACAAAAATTCTAACTTCCATATTTACCTAATTATTAAACTAATATACACAAAAAACAATAAATTCAAATATTTATCTGATTATAAAATAACACAACATTTTTTTTTACCTTTTTTCCTTTTTATGAATTTAATACCTTACTTGGATTCTTTAAAACAAAATAACTTTTGTAATTCCAACTTCTCCCTCCTCCCCTTTTATACTTTTCCTTACCCAAACTCTCTAGTCATCTTTATTTAATTCAAATCTAATTTTAATTTTACTTTCTTCTTTTCTCACCAATTTGCTTTTTCAAATTGATTTATGACTCTTTTTAACTCTTCTTTTTTTTTCACAACCCAAATTTTCGGCATATCATTCCCTTTTTTTTCTTTTTTTACAATTTCAATTTTACTTTCGACTTTACTCTAACTTAACCTCCCAAAAATTTTTTTTTAATCTTTTGATTTATTACTCCCTTATTTCTTTCCCTTGTAACTTTTATCTTGTCACTTTCTAACTTATTCATACATTTTATCTTGTTATTTCTTTCTTTCAAACCTTTTAAATTAAATTTCCTTCCACCTGTCGCGAACATCTCACAACTTATATAACTTAAAGTATCCTTGTACTTCACCGAAAAATTGTTAACTATTACTATTTTCCCCGCCAACCATATTTAGCAACTCATGCGGGTCTTCAATTATGCTAAACCATTTTACTAAGAGATACATGCATTAATTGCAATAATTATTTTTTTAATTACGAAGCTCCCCGGGCAAAGATATAATCTATTTTTCTTTGCTGTCATTTAAGATAACCTCATTAAGATAGGCAAAATGATGATTCTTTTTTTTTATTATTTCTTTTTTTTATTTAACCCCAACTCATATACTTTACGTATTGACCCCTTGATCTCCTCTTGCGAACCCTCTCAATTTTTCTGGTTCAATCCGCCTGCGAAGATGATTGCTGTGTCTCACTATCTGTCTCCCGTCGGCAAATTCCACCCTACTTACCCTGTTTCCAATATTTTCCAAAATCACCCAGAGCTCCTATTTTTTGTCAAATATTCTTGCCCATATTGCTTGCCCTACCATGAATTCCGCTTCATGCTATACTTCGAACCGTTTCTCTTCCTGACTTGCCGGTTTTAATGAATCCAAACAAATTCGAATTCTTCCTCCTAAAAACTTCTCCGCCAGCGACGGTTCCTCCTCTTTTCTACTATTGTTATAATACGCCACCGCCACCCACATCTCTCCGCCACCATCCTCTGACTTTCTCAACCAGTTCTTGACCACTGTTACTATCCTCCCCGCTTGTCCATTTTAACTCGGATGATACGGCGGCGTTAAAATGTGTTTCGCTCCAGTTTCTGCACAAAAGACTTTGAATTGTCTACTAATAAAAGCAGGACCCGCATCCGACACTACTGTCATAGCCAGGAATTTTTTAGTTTACACGCAGACATCTCTCTCCCGCAAAACTACCGCAATTGGAAATCTCCCGCAAAAATCTACCGCAATTTTTAAATTTTTCCGCAATTTTTTTTTTTAGTATTTTAACGTTTTTAATATATAAATAATAATTTTGAGAGATAGTAATTGATTATTTTTTATATTTTTAAAATAAATTTTAAATATTTCATAAAACATGTCTAATTTGTAAATTTCTTTTTATCCTGTTATTTTTATCCAATAATAAATCAACATCAAAGTCAGTACAGGGGAGTATATCGTATATCAACATCGATTTTAATACAAAAATATTCTTCTAAAATAATAAATAATACAGATGCAACTACATCTGCGGAAATCGTATATCATGTAGTTCAACATTCACAGAGCTATAACATCACAATGTTTGTTGAATTTTTTTTCCATGATATTTAATGACTCCAATATAAGTGCAAACCTACTTGATTTTAGTACCTGAATTTTAGAGATCAATTCTAAACGATTTGAAAGATGGGCATCCATATGCAATTCTAACAGTTGCATCTAATAAGGGAAATATTAAACCATTTCCCTTGATCCTTTTTATTTCAACTGAATAAGAACATTTCAATAAAACTGTTAAAAATTTTTTCCTCGGATAGTGAAAAATCCATCGATGTAGCTAACCACATAATGTATATATAACTGATTCAGGGTTATCAATGAATTGCATGTCAGCTATCAGCTATCTGAGCTGATAATGCCTCTGTAAATTCCGGCAAAAACCAAAGTGTATTTACCTAATTGAGGCAGTACAATAATGAATTAATAACATGATTCTTGCAAGAAGGCAATGAATGTACTATCTGGGGATGTCGAAAAAATAATTGATGAAATGTTTTAACGAATTTAGTTCATCAACTAAAAGAGTTAATGAATTAAAAGAGTTACTGGAGTAGTCTGACTTGGAATGGTGTGAGTTGTTGCAATATGTACCTATCAGGTAGTTATCATTAATATTTGCCATCGATAGAATTTTAAAATTTTACAAACCCTTAAAAAAATACTTTTAAAATAAAGATTTTAAA